TCTCAGCAACACTATTGGCTAGCCATGAGATGAGCAAGGACAAGAACAATAGACATGCCAGCGTGGACTGGGTGATGACCATGAGTTCTCACACTACATAGGAATTATCGGTATTTACCCCGCCAGCCTACCTTTCAGTGACTAGGGGGCAAAGGCAGTGGTGGCCCCTCCAGGTGAGTACATCCCCTGTGTGACAAGTGACTTCCTTAAAAGGGTCTATCAGTCAGGTCACTCTCTTTCTCTCTTGTTCTCTGTCTGTCTCTATCTCTCTTATGCCCCCACTCTGAGATGACCTTTCTCTCTTTTCCCACATTAATTCTGTGACAAGAGGCCTGATCTCTGTCTCGCTTGCCCTGGTCAGCCCTCAAGAGGTGCTTTTTCTTCACTTTATCATTAATACAGGCAACTAAGAAACACTGAGAGCAAGAGAAATATTTGTACCCAGGGAAGAGTACAATGATTGGTTATCTAATGCCAAATGATAATCCATGAAAACCTGTTAACAGATAACATTATACAGGCTGAGCAGTTTATACTTAAGAATATATATGTATATACAACACACACAGTACATGAATATATGTGTACTTAACATTTAGTGGGAAAAAGGCCATGGAATTGAAAAAGAGCAGTGAGGATTTGGAAGGAAAGAAAGGGAAGGAGAAAATGATGTAATTGTGCTATAATATCAAGAAGGAGGAGGAAGAGGGGGATAAAAACAAGAAGAGAGGAGGAGAAGAAGGAGAGGGAGGAGGGGGAGGAGGAAGAAGAAGAGGAAGAAGAAGAAGAAGAAGAAGAAGAAGAAGAAGAAGAAGAAGAAGAAGAAGAAGAAGAAGAAGAAGAAGCAGCAGCAGCAGCAGCAGCAGCAGCAGCAGCAGCAGCAGCTCGCTCTTGACCTGTGTGTGATGCCCAGGTAAAAATGGGACAGGGAGAGAGTTGAACCCTTGGGGTCTCCCTGAGCTTATGTCCATTCTCTATTAGTATTGCAGAAAGGACAGAGAAAGGATGGGGGAATATAGAAAGTTTAAAAGAAACCAAAGGTTTGTCTTTTTTTCTGGGCTGAGAGTCACTTCTCAGGAATCCTTAAAGAGTGTTGACCCAATGCCATCTTGGGCAATATGCTCCCCCATTCATTTCCTAAGAAGAGGAGCTGGGTGTTTGTTTTTGTCCATTTCCCCCCTTTATGGTGTAGGCAATATACCTTCCCAGCCCTCCAACCCTTGGCCCTTGATCTGAGGTACCTCTCCTTCCAGCACCTGGGGCAGGCTTCACAGTGTGATCACACACACACACACACACACACACACACACACACACACACGAGCCAAGTCTTAGGTTTGTCTCTGTCACAA